TTAGTTTTTCCCTCTTTAGGCGATTTGTTAATTGGGGAAATTACTTAGCTGAAATGAACTAGATTTGGGATTTTCGCAACAATATTTTATTCATTGAGTAACTATGTTCCTTTCATTCTGCGTGTTTACATTGTCAAAAACCGCGAATAAAGAAATTTGTTGCCACGAATAGTCAAACCGCGAATAAAGGAAGCGCGAATAAGGAACTTTGGTATTTAAGATTAAGTAAAATGAAATAAAAAACGAAAAATATGTAACAATTATAAACCACGAGTACCCTACTTCATTTAATACGATGCTTTACCAGAATGCCAAGAATTATACTCTCTCGTCATATAAAAACTTACTTTTCGCGAACACCCTTATATGAGGAGACATTCGCCGCAGTTTACCCAGTTGATCACCGGAAATTTGTATGTACCACTTTTTATCATAAAAGTTAAAAAATTAAGCTTTATTGTCATGTGAAGGCTTTTGTAAGAAATCAACTTAATTACGTTGGAAGATATTCAAAAAATCGTCCCGTCTCGTCCAAGCTGCCCACATCGTTTTTTAACGAAATATTAGAAATGTATTTCCGATGATGATTTTAAATAGATTGATATGGTAGAAGACAAATCTATTCCAAACCTTATTATTGTAGCCTTCGTACAACGCAGTGTGTAAAGACTTTGTGATAAATTTTTTTAACAAATTATAGTACGCTTCAATCTGTAGCGTGGTTTTAAACTGCAGCAAGTTATTGAACTTCAGAACCATTTTCTAAAATCCTAAGAAGAAATTATAGCCATTCTGGTACAATGATTTCTGAGCATTACTAAAATATTAAGCTTTACAAAAATATCATTCATTTACTAGCAGAATGGCAATACCTAAACATATATGCAGTTATTAGCCGGGCTAACCTCTAAAATGAACGCTTATTATGTTCAGGTATGAAAACGTGTATGCACTTAACGTTCGTATCATTCCTTAAACACAATTGCAACCAAAACATTTAAAATCTAAAGTAAATTTTCTTGTCACACTAAACACAACCATACCCAAAAACGAATAAACGCAAGAGATTAACAAGAAAATCATTCGCACTTACCCAGAATCTTGACCACCTACTGCAGTTTCTTGTACACGTAAAGCATACAAGTCTTGGGAGAAAAGCTATTCAATATTACATATGGGTGTGTCAGCGTACGAAACCAGCACAAAATGTAAAAGAAAAAGAAAAACTTATTATTAAAGGATTTAAAATTTTCAGTTTTAAATCACATTCGTTGAAGTGTAACGAGAAAATCTTAAAAGCATACCTCACCGTTTTCCGGAGGATCTCCATTACCAAATGTTGACGCTACAACTATTAAGAGAGCTTCATGTTCAATCGATGATATATCGTATTCAGACATGCAATAAATCTATTTAAAAATAAAATGAAAAAATCAAATTTAAAAATTCTCTTATCACATTTTATATATGATATAAGAAATCAAGGTTAGATTATCAAAAATTTACAACTAATAATGGCCAATTATTTAATGATATTTTGATTGACCTAAATTTTTAAAACAACCTAATATTTAAAACAAATTAAATTAATTTTAGTGTAAATATTTTATGAGACAAATACACTCAGTCCAAACAAGAAAATATTTTAATAAAATTCCATTAATTTACGCTTAGTTCATTTAGATATAATGTAAACTATTTTACAATTTATTAATTTATGATGTGAATTTACATGCAATGTTACCTGTACATATTTAAAAAGAAATGTCTAATGAAATATTGATAATAAAAATGGTTGCTGATGGTTTCATTCCATGAAAATTTCAGTACTCTGCACTTTTAATATCAAATGCAAGAGCAACAACAACAACAGATTTTAATATGTATTTTATATAAACAACCCTTAGGCGTATGAGCAACCTCAGTTTAATATAAAATGCCTATGCACAGGTTTTCAACACGTCACGTTGTCGATATTATTAACACAATGGAATGTTTTTATTTACACATTCACTGTATGCACGTACACGTACGTTATATAGTTAGAATTTTAAACTGTTGCATGGAACATTACAGAAACAACAAGATAAAATAAAAAGAACGACGCAGTAACAAATTGCATTCATTCTACTCACCTGTGCATTAAATGCATGTCCTAGTAGTTCGCATAATTGCTTGGCATATTTTTCTGATTTGCCCGTTTCGGTGGCGTACAATACCGTAGCCTTTATACGTTTTGATAAAGCACGTCCAAATAATTTTGACGTAAATTTCACAGCCCTATAAGTTAATAATTAACAAAAACAAAAACAAAACGAGAAAGAGAAAGAGAAGCAGAATCAAAGGGAAATGAATGAGCATGGAATGAAATAATTGAAAGAGCGATAAGGTGATTGAAGTAACAAAAGCAGGCTTTCTTTAATAGAATTGTTGCATAAAATCTATTCAACAATTTAATAGCAATATGGATAGCATTTCAATCGATATACATTGAATTTTCCAAGCTGACTAAAACGAACCAAAAACTATTAAAGTTACGTTTGGTTTGAGATAATTCTTCTTATAGGAAATGTGTATAATAACTGGCTCAAAATGTAAGTGAATATTGTAAAAGGTAAAGTTTTCACGTATTTTTCACGTATATTATTGGTTTTTCGACGAAAGTTCATAATGAATAAATTTAGTGCATAATAGATTCAATAAATTCACTAATTTATACGGTCAGCACAACCGATAAGATTATAAGACATGAAATGGTCCAAATCTTTTTGCTATTATTTATTTGTATGAAAAGACCTTTAAATATTTACAGCGAGTTTTTTTACACTTTTATATAGATAGATTCCGACGTTATTTACCTATTGGTGTTAAAGAAAACCTCTCGAACCTTTTTTTTCGCGAATTGGCACAGTTATAAAAATGAAGATAAGAATCTGAAATTTGGCACAAATCATCTTTACTCGCTTGAAAACGCAATGTTAAAAAAATGTCATCGACAATTTTTTTATATTTTGTTCTATAACCTTTCAATCTCGTGAGAATATCTCCAAAAAGTTGCTACACATATGTTTGTCAAATCACCCAAATATGTTCCGCATTAGTTTGCTAATAACGACACGATTTAAATTTCAATTTGTTTATCCTAACGGACCTTAGCGCTTTCTTTACCCAATTGCATATAAAATGGAAATAAATTTGATGATGAGATATATATGTGAAACATCGGTAGTTCTAGTGTCAGTTGTCATACATTTTTATTGAATTAGAGTTTACTTTTTGTGCTTTATGTTTCTTAGTTAAAAGTAGCTGAGAATTTTTAATCAGAAATTGTTTAGTTCTGCAGGAGATCAGGTCCTATGAAATTATATTAACTATATATGCACAAAGAACTTTACATAATCAACGGTGCTTTTTTGCTATTCCAATTATCAATAGGAATGTCAACCGATGCGAACATCGACTAGTTCGTTTATCACGTCACAGAGTAGCAACACGATGTCAGGTCTTAAAGCAAAGATATTTGACGCCTAGCGCGGCTTCTCATTGCCCTTTTAATTTTACACCTATTGTTGAATCGAATGGAACATTTACTTTACAGTGAGTGGTTCTGCCTATTCGAGTTCTTTTAAGCTTTTTAATTCTCTTGTCACATCCATTGGACGTTACCCTGCTTGAAAAGCGCAGATGCTAAATATCAGGAAAAGCCAAACGAAATTCGGCAAAGTCTCTCCTTTCTTTCTTTCAAAAATAATAATACATTCAAAGCAATTTTGTCTTTTTTTAAATAATGAAAGCGTCACAAAGTGAATTAAGAAAAGCATAACAAAAATGGGTATCAGGACTGAACCCTGTTAAATAACATCAGTTACGTGAAAAGCTCTAACGTATATTTAGCTATATGACAGTAGATAACACATACGACAGTATCGCTATGCAAACAGGAATTTTAAAGTTAAAACAGTGATGGGAAGATGGAAAGAAGCTATGTGAAATTTTCACATTGATATGCCGGCACTGCGTAAACTGGCAGCTGCAAGTTTATGCTTTCGCCATTACCAATTACAATATACTATGCAATACTATGTTTGTAAGGTGTTTCATTTTCGATACCACCTGTTCATTTAGATTACAGTCTGTAGACCATCTTGCCGTTTGGCCGTATTTTCACTTGCTTCTTTCCATTCATTCTTTCTTTTCTTGTCCCTCACTTTCTCTGTCTTCTCAATAGTCCGCATATTAATGCTTTGTTGCTGCTGGTCTGTCGTTCGCTATACCTTTTGCTTGCATTTTCATTTGCCTCTGCTATTGCATTCTTCCTTCCTTCTCCCGCTAGTTTTCCTTTCTTCTGCTTCTTTGTTCTTTGGGAAGCAGGCCTATCCACTCTTGTTATTCTGCTGCTCGCCCCACTATATCTTGCCATTCTATCTACGCATGCCCCCTCTGTTCCATCTGTCCACCCTCTTTGCGATCGTACATTCCATTCGTCTGTATTTCCTCTTATGTTTCCCACTCATTCCCAATGATGCAAGTCTTTCCGTCTATCGAACAGACATTGCTCAGAACTTCGTAATTTATCTGAATATTTATATATAACGATTAATACTATGATCAGGCTACCATTTATTCACACCTGGAGGTAAAAAGAAATATGTCTACGCGAAATAAAATATGACACAATTGCAAATTTATATCGGTTACATATCCACAACTTATTTATTTCAATTTTCCAATTTATTTTCATTTTATTTTCATTCCATATATGCATCTTTAACTTTCATCCTGATAATTTGAATATAAGTCCACACAGACCTTTCAAATAAGATAGCATTACATTGCTTATGAGCTTTGATTTCACCGCCTGTAAGCATTTTTTTGAAGGCACAAAACATTACAAGCTATCCCGCTGAAGAGGATTTTGAAATCTTTGCATCACTCTAGATCTATATTTTTATCGATATCATGCCAAGAAAAACGGAAAAAATGCATAGTCTTCGACGCATAAAATACTTTTTACCATCCTCTCAAGAAAAGAGCTTGTCTTTAATAAAACAGGCAGTCAAGGGGTTGCTAAGAGGGAGAACCAGGAAAGATCTTAAAAAGTCTTACGATTATGTAATTGATAGCAAGGAGAAAGAAAGAGAAAAAAATGAAAAAACCATTTTTTAAGCTGACAGCGGTGTCTGCCTTAGCTAATGCCTTTAACGAATAAATCGGAGAGAACAAAAAACTTAAATTTTCCATTTTCGAATTGCTTGACGAAAACTAAAACCAAAAGTAAAAAATCTACTCATTTTTATGTATGTATGTATGCATATATATATGTGAACAATAAGAATAGAACATAGTCGTTTTTTATATGGAGAGGTATAAATTGTAGCAACTGTTGCTAGTGTTCAAATCCTTAGTTTACCACACAAAATACGCGGAGTCACGAAAAATGCAGTGACACGACGGCTTTTTATCTCTTGTCGGTTGTTTATCGGTTTGACATAAAGTATACTTATGGCTTGGTACTCTTAAGTCTTTTTTGCGTCTTTTCTTTTTTTTTTTTTTTTGTTCTTTTTGTTTTTTCTACTCTGCTGTCGTTGCTATCGCGGTTAGTCATCTTAGAAATGACATTTTTTTGATGTTTTTATGTATTCTTTTGCGTTATTTTTATCTTCGAAAGGTTAAAGAGTAAAGTGTGTATAATCTATTGACGATAGATTAAATGAAAATTTTATGAAGTGTAGACGCTAAAAAGTTAAGTGTTTAACATATCAATACAACGTTTAGATAAAATTTCTCTTAATACTCTTCATAAAACACTGGTATTTAACACTTTGCAGCAACCCTGTTTAAGCAATTGTTTGCCGCGTGTTCGAATTTAACATTTCCACTCTTTTTATTTTCACAAATTTATTGAATGTGTTCCATTAACTAATATGCACGCCATTGGATAGTGAACCCAATTTTACGAGTTTTTATTATTTAGAAGGCATACATCATGTCAACTGAAAATTGCTCCCAAGGCGAATATGCGTATCTTGTTTGTTTCCTGGTAAATAGAAGGATGTTACCAAAACAAATATTAAATTGCCTAGACTTTTTTTAACACAAAATTTAGGAGGCTTCGCATATATCACTTTTTAAATTTTTAAACTTGAAAGAGACCAGCTAAGTAAAATGAGTAACTTGTACAAAATAGTGCAATGGTTGTTAAGGGATTATTGAGAAAGAAACCTCCTTTGTGAGCGTGGCAGTGTGGATCATTTTTTTGAAATTTGTTTGCGAAAAGTTTTTTAAAATATTCAAACGAACTTTTTTACAAATTACACCCTACAGCACCGTAAAGAAGAAATAGTTGTATGCATTCATGCAAGATATAAAAAGACTTGAGATATATTTTGTCGCATCACCGGACACAGAATCGTTCTCCGAATCGGTTTAAACTTATCATGACGTCTTTCTGTTTGTCCCTCTATCTGCCTATCTGTTGTCTGGTATTCCTCTATCGATTTATGTGATTCAAAGTAGAGATCACAAGCTTCGATTCATTGTGGTGAAATTTTATTTTATGCTTAGGTTCCGATATACTATTGAAATTACATCGAATCGAACAAGTATTCCTCTCAGTCCATGTAGGAATTACTCTTTTATAAAGGATAAAGTATATCCATCTCTCTCGTCAAATAAAATAGATAGTGCAACGGTGTTGAAATGAACAATTGACCGTCCGTCATTTTGTCTGAGAGACAGAAGGAATGCATGAGCAAATTGGAAAGCTTGACGCATATGGTCGCAATTGGTAAGATAAGATCACGCTTGAAAATAATCCCGTTCTTCCGACAACTACATTAGAAATTACAAAACAAAAAAACCCACTATTCACAGAAGAGGTTCTTCTAACTGTTCTACTTTATTAACTAGCCCACGTAATGAAATAAAATTTCTCCCACATGTTCATAACAAAGCAAACAAGAAAGTTTGTAAAATAAAAATTCCCCTTCAATTTGAAATAGAAATGTTTACATACATACACGTTACAAATGTGTCGTTAACACATATATCCGGCAATAATAATTTTTCCTTTTGTTTGTACACTACGCCACTTGTGGTGTATGGTATATTGTGTTTGTGCAGATGCATTTGTGTAACGGGGTCTAGCATAAAAAATTATACACGGAAGGAGACCGTAGGTAGGGCAGGTAGTAGAATAATCCAAGATGCAACATCAGCCCGTCCGGTAAGAAAGTTTCATCTCTATAAGCGCTTTCGCATAAGTGTTTTTGGAGTGTAAGCCGTCTTTGGAGTATGCGTTAAATGGAAACCCACCGATTACTGCCCAACAAGCTACCTTTACAATGGGACGTGCTTTTATCCGTTGCACCCCCTGACCGTCTGTCCTTTTAACTATATTTATATAATATCCTATGAAGTCCCTTAAAGAAAGGTATCTGACTTTGACTAGATGATTAAAATGATGACACCTGTTACACAAAGGTGGCGTGTTGTACCGAACGTTTCAGAACAATTATTTCAAGTTCGATTTAAGCCCGTCTGTCCGTCTGCTATATGATCATATACTTTTATGTTGAGCCTACAGATCGTAACTGTTCAGATGTTTCGATCAAATTTGATACTCTGGTGTTGTTGGGCCCAGCAACAAAGCCTATTAAAAATGGACATGATCTGATCATTTATACGATCACTTTCTATTGCAAACGAGCAAAAACTTTTGCTTGAGAAATAAACGTAAAAAATTTAAATCGGATGCGTCAATTTTCTAGATCCCCTTCCATATAACCGAACCGTTCCGCTCGAAAATAAGCCTTTATATGAGGGAAAGGTCTAACTATTAATATTTTATGATGAATGAAAAAAAACATCGTGATGGTAATAGTAAAAGTAAGGCTTAGTGTTTAGCACTTTGTAACGAAGACAGGATGATAAGATCCGTGAGAAGAAAATTAATTTTGCTTAATTTTAATCTTGTCCGCGCAGCCGCATAAGACCTTGCATAAACAACACATTTTTACATGAACACATGGTATAATGTTTGACACTTTATTACAAACATAAAAGAATAATCAGTTATATAAGACGCTGTAACGCCATCGGCCATAGCCGACTATAATGCGATTACTTGTTTAAACGTATACTTATATTGAGTCTTGCGACTACATATTCATTAGTTAGTATTACTAATTGATATGCAACAGTATAAGCTTTATTGACACACATTGACACATTACTTATAATATTAATAAAGGTAGTTGTATTTATATTCAGCCCCTGTCGCTACTTAGCATTTTTCATGTGTTTCAAAGTGCAGAGAAAAAGGGAAAACATGATTTTATTTAATCATTAGGGGAAATTCCTCGCGTCTATACATGCATATATATTTAGCTCTAACGCATAAGCGTTTTAGAAAATTTTCGCTCTTGAAAAACTCGACTTTAAATAGGAATCCCTGCCACTTATCACTGAACCTTGCGAGGGTAATAATATAATTTTTACAATTTTTCGCTGATGTATACGAGTTCCTGTGACTAATAATGAGAGGTAATAAATTAAAAATTTAAAAAACCTATAAATTAATATGTAAATTGCCATGAAATGCAAATAATTTGAAATTATTTCAAAGCAATTAATACTGATTAGATTTAGATCTGTTACCTAAATTGACATAAATTTCTCGGTGAGTATACTTAAACCAGGCATTCTACATTTATTATTATTATTATTATTATTATTATTGAATAAAAACACTCCTTGCAACTTTAAACGTTAAAAGTCAATACCAAATATTTCAAAATATTCTTTGATTAAAACTTTGGCAGAGTCTCTCATAAACATGAGCAATAAGTTAATCGTAGGCAAGCATACAACATTCAATCTCAGAACATATGTAGCTGTAGATTTTCATCGTCTATCAAAAGCAATTGCCTGCCTATCCAGTTATACTCTTGCTTTATTTTTGCATGTATTGCTTGTTGAACAAATGTTGAATGCAGATAGACAACAACGTTTGTATAGCCTTGTAATCTACTTAAAGGCTAATCCTTTTTTGTGTATGCTACTACAACGCATCGGTGTATTATAATGTATATAGGTATATTTATGTGTGTGTATGGGCATGTGGGTATGTTCATTTTGTGTGTGTTAGGAAACCACAAAACAACACCATACATCTAAGGCACAATAGAAATTTATACCGTATGATAGTAGCAAGCAAAAGCAGTTTATAGACAATCGCTTGCCTTAGTTAACAAATCAGTGCTTAGGCGAGTATAATAGGAAAAGTGGAAAATATGAATCATTGTTTTTATTTCTCTTTTTCAAAGAATGCTCAAATACTTAAATATTAAAATTATTCTTCTAGATGAGAGAAAGTCACTTTCGCTTAGAGAATAAACCAAAAAGGCAAGAACGTTGATGGTTATATCAAAACGAAACCTTTGCTCACGACTATGTACGTTCGTCCCGAAAAGTGTTAGCTTTTTCTAGTTGATTGTTTGGAAATTTTGACAATTACATGACTTAGATTTCCTTGTTAAAGACCCAGCACATAACAATTTTATATTCCTCTTGAACTTAGTCCTCGAAAACTTGTCAAATGTTAAGCTTTTTCTCAAGTTTTCCGTTTTGAAAATTGTGAATCCAAGATAGCGAACAATAAAATCGGTTCGCTCACAATACAACAGAAAACGAAATACATATGCAAAGGGAGACATACAAATGTGATTTTTATACGCTGCATCACTTGTGCTACAAAGGTATGTTAAGTTTGTGCGGGCGAATATTGCATCCAAAACGGTTTGACATAGGCCCACCTTTGATTATATCGATTGATTCGATCTGTTCTGCTTCCCCTCCGTTCGTCTCTCTTTGTGTGTCCGTCCTTCCGTTTATTCGTTTTTTTTTTTTTTTTTTTTTTTGGTTTGTGTACACACATTCACATTTTCTACTATGATGATAACGTATTTTAGACCATGGGCCGAGGCTGTTAAAAATGGCTCGGAACGAATGTTATTTTAACCACTGCTCAGATAACGTCTAATCTTGGAAGGCCGTCATACTATTTAAGGATGGACCGTGACCTGCTATAATGAGTTTACTTATTAATCGCTTACAAAAATCTGACTAATGCTATTTCATAACATTTCAAAAATATAATTTAAAGCCCATACTAGATACTAAGTGATATAAACCACATACTGATATATTGAATCATCGCTTTTGTTACGCTATTAACCGCAAGCTGGTGGTTAATATTAAAATATTCGAACCAAGCTGCTTATAACATTCATTTTCTTTGTTATTTATGGGTGACTGTGATAATTTTCAAAAGAAAAAAAAATTTGTTAGGATTCACATTCCTTTAACGAAATTCAATCACTCACTTTTTAACTATTGCGGGATTATTTGTTGAAAAGGTAAGATTCCATAAAAACTATTACATACGAATGTCACTAAGGCTTAAAAATCACCTGCAATAAGCCTTAAATAAAAAGTTTGAATTATTAGCTTAAGCGATGATATAATTTAATTTATATCTAATTACAACAAAAACGAAGTCATTTAAAAATCGACCATAGAATCCACAAATTGGCTTAAAGTTACATTTAAAATTTTAAAGAAATCGGGTAAAAATCGAAAGGAGCAGCAGGTCGGTATGCTCGGAAAACATAGTTTCCGGCAGCAGCATGTATTAAAAATTTCAGGTTTCAAATTTTTAAGAAATTTTTTGTTTACTTGCAGCCCTCGAATTCATTCAGGGTCTCAAAAGACTTCTGTGGAAAAATTATTTTCACGTCTTTTTTTCTTTTTCATCATCAATTGCTTCTTTTACGCTTACTCGATGCACACGAAATACCTGTAATAAGGTTCTGACCGACTATATTAGGGAAAACGAGTTCTTGCGTTGTTAAAGGTTTCTATCTGTGGCATATTAAACTAAATAAGTATTTGATAAACTTTGCTCTTCAAAAATTTTCCTGTAGGGATTTCAACAGCGGAAAGGTGGACAACATGTCTGACAGAAGGCATGACAAGTGCGCGGCAATCAAGTTAATCCGGATTACGTAGACACTAAGTTTCCAGCACCTTTTCTGGCGCTTACAAATGAAATCACAAAAAAAAAAAAAAAAAATTATTTGACTTTTATGAGCAAAACCACTTCACAGAAAAGAGCTTAATATGTTCCAAGTAAAATATCAAAATTGATGCAAATGTTTATCCAAATCCTTTAAGTTACAATTAAAGAACATTTACGATATTTTTGATTCCGCGGCAAGGTAAGTGCAAGTAAAGCCTCATTTGTTTTTCTTATTTCCTTTTATGGTTTATTTTAAGCAGAATTTTGTAGAAAGCCTCGCTTTTTCTTTTCATTTTATTCTGAAATGAAATGAAAATTTGCGCTTACCTTGCAATTTGTTTGAAATTAAATTTACGTCTGGGTTTTTTACTTTTACCGTCACCCCGTCCTTTCTTCCAAATGTGGGTGCGCCAAGCCGGATCCTGATATTCAAATGATGGTTTTAAATAGTACAAGGCCATCTCCTGATGGAATACCGGTGTTATGGAACCCGACAAGGGTGGTACAATCCAAATCCAATCTGCCGGGCAGCCGTTACTTAAAATATAAATTTAAAAAAAATAAATTAATTATACAAACAAACGTGCATAGTATACAGTATTTACTAGTTAGCACATTTATGTAGGATATGTAAGGCTTATCGAGCTTAGTGCAAAAGTTTTCGGGTCTTCAACCAAACAATTCGCAACAAACATTGAAAGTGTTTCGTTCATGTACAAAACAAGCCATAGACGCCGCATGAAACTACAGTGAATGTCGAAGCCTGGGAATATGCAAACAAAAGTTATGCGTTATTCGATTATTCTCTCGAACTAATTTTCACACAATTTCAATGGTTTTTTCGCCTATGGCTAAAACTGCGCATCCATCGCGCAATTCATCAGCGAGCGGATTGTGTTCACGCGACAATTTATCGCATCTACAATATTTTTCAGCTCCATTTAATGCATTTAGGGCAATTTTTTATATGTACATATACACTCTCAGCGTATCGAGATATTATAGAACGGAAACATTCTTTTGTCAAAAAGAATTAAAAACATATTACACATAAGGCTTTCAGGGTTCGCTATCTATATATATTCTTCTAAATTTCCATAGCACAATCGTTGCACGCAATATACGACTTGATTACTCATCAATTTTCTTATAAATGATTTTGAAGAGTACCGCTCATAAAACAATGGGAAGACAGAGTGACGATTTCTTTATCAAATGACACACGAGAATCAGACAGACGTCCACCGCCATTACGTTGTAGAAACCGTAGTCAAAACAATGGACAAATTCGGCTAATTTTTAAATTTAACTTGAACGAGATAAAAAGCCAAATGATATTTAATGTTCTACTCCATATTTAGTGTACAAAATGGATATCAATATGATAAAATCATCACATTAAAATCGCGTATAACTTAACTAAAACATACAGACAATTATGATCAACGAAGTTAAATTGCATAGGTAATAAAATGTGAGAAAAAATGTTACATAAGCGAAGCGAATTTGTAGTTGTTTTTATATCTACCAATAAGAGTTTAGAAGTCCGCTTTTTTAAAACGTTTGCAACACCCAGAAGACAACCTCAGAAACGCTATCAAATATGTACATGTTGTTGGTCATTTCATATCCTAAATATCTGTCTAGCTTCTTAACCGTACGTCTCTCTATCCATATGTCTGTTCGTGTGTCCGTTCATCAATAAGAAAATTACTCGCGATTATGATATCGCTCTGGTGAAGAGAATGCGAATGGCAAGCGAAACGAACCATAACTGTGGCTTTGATTCATCACTCACAAACCAATAGAAATAGAAGTTTCCATATAGACTACATGGGTTATCTTAGAAAAAATCAGCCTTGCCCATGCAATATTACGGAGTGTCGCATAAATCTTTTTTTTTGAACATTTTTTTAAGATAAAGCTAGCGATTTTGTTACTTTTAACGACTCGGCAATCATGTCAACTGATTTTTGAACTTACATTGCGACATAAGTCAATTCTGTTGCCTGACATATATGTAATGATAAGTCATCATCTGTAATGATGATGATAATGATAATGGTAGCTTTGTAATGATAATCCCAACTAATCCCAGGCAATTAATTCGATCCCCTAATTTCAATTGAACAGAAGTATATGCAGCTTACTAGATGCTCTAGGTGTGTTTCTCGACCATGCAAACATTTGACATATCTAACATACCCGTTATGCACGAGTACAACCGAGTAAAAGCAATTAATCAACAGAACGACCATTTGAAAAAATGAACGGAAATTTACGTATAATTACATATATGTACACATGAATTTCACATTTTCCACTTTTCATTACAAAACTAAACTAAATAAAGTAAACAAATTGAAAACCATTCATTTGCTTAACACATTTACTAAGTGTTTTATGATGTAATTCTTGATAAATGAAACACAAAAATGTAAGCATTTATGCGCGTTTACATATCCCAAAAGCCCGCAAAGCAAATAAAATGAACGCACTGAGTAGAGGGATGAAACAGAAAATTTTAACATTAATCCGAACATCCGTGCCCAACAACACCGATATATCGCAATAATCTGATACTAACAAAGAAAAAGAATAAGCTTTGAAAGGGACGCCTATCAAGGCATTAATGTTTACATTCATTGAAACTGAGTGTAAACATTGTGTCACTTTCACTTTAGCTTTGTTCACTTGCCTACCATATTCACTTGTTTATCACTCCCGCACTATAAGAACACCTATCGAAAATTTGTGTGTACGATCGCCATCATCCAAGAGGTCAATAGCAAATACGCGGAAGGCCGTTATGAGAAAAACAATCAGGCAAAGCCGACTACATCTACACAGTCTTCTTTATCAAAAAAATGTAATTTAAAAGGAAGATGAGGTCTTGCTGCTATATAAACATAAGAATTCTGTTAAGGTGAGCGGTCCAGAAAGAAGACTCAAAATATCTTATAATATCTGTCTAATCCAAACTTTATTAAAAAGTGTTTTGACTATATTTTTATGACGATTTATATCTGAAATAAGTCGTATATTGTTTATTATAGCTGAGTAGTTACGAACCACAACTACAAAGTCAGCGTTCGCTGGTTGAACTCTCAATGCGATGAAAGAGTTCAGTTTGGTCGCTTTCGTCCGTCAAAAACATAAGACTTACCGATTGGACACACACCCACTACGTTGCCGTCACCACCCCCCTATGTGCTTATCTTTCATCACTTTTTTTCATCCCCACTCTCTTACGTGAATAGGGAACATCTCCTGAATTTAGTGTCGTTAGTAGATAATATTGAAGAAATTTTTTCTGCACAAATACAGCAAACACATCAATCAAGGACTTGAACATTAAAATTTTAAAAAGATTTATAAAAGTGGAGTTAATCGATTCGGAAAGTGCAACATTCGTATGTCAAATCATTATTTAGTGTCAAATATCATTATAAAGTACTACCAATTATCTATACAAGGGCTTACTTTCTGTAAGAATATATTTTTCTTCTTTTTTTTTGGGGTGAAAATTCCGATACGAGATGCCCCCTCTTACTCAAAAATATTCCATATTCTTTTGATTGTACGCAGAAATAATGAAATTTGCAAAATTTATTTGAAAATTGTGCCTGAAGTCGTCAAGTAGGATTCATTTTTGGCCTAATATATGTCTATGTGACGAATTTCATCAGAGTACCTCGAAAATTGCAACCTGTTGAACACGAAAATTTAGGGACATAAATAAATAGACAAACAGGAAGACACGCATTAGTATAATATTGACGCGTTCATGTGAAGTCGTTCTTGGTACAGAACATATCCTTGCCACAACTTATATAGAATACAAAACCTCATTTTTGTCAAAGAAGACCTAAGGATCTTAAAATTAATTTTTACTTTACTTGAGCTTGAGTTTAACTGGTAAGGCTCGCATTATTCGGTTAAGGAAAGTCGTAGTAGACATACGTAGACTAAGAGATTCAGAATGATTTAGTAGCAAGCTTTGAAGCATTTACCGCTTAGCCCAGACCATTCCAACTATCCATTCTTGTCGCTCCCTTCAGAAGTGCTTCGATATTGTAAACATGACTACAAAAGAGGCCAGTAAAAGTAACTTGGCTCAATCATTCATGAAGAAATGCTAGCAATTCTATAGTGATGGTCGAATGATTTTCCCAGAAAAATAGCGAAGAGTTTACCATCACAACGGCCAGTAATTCATTAAATGAATTTCATTTCAAATGTAGAAAAACTATGTTTGACTTTCGGCCAGAAAGAGTGCTAAGAAGCTCTCACATAAATAAATAATAAAAAAATGACATTTACGATAATATTGAAACATTTTTTTATAATTTTCGCTCATTTTAAAAACCTAATTATTTTATATAAATTAACTTACGAAACAGCGGATGTGCGTAGCATCTAGAAAGAGGGACAAAAACAGATCCACCGCTTCATATGCCGATAGAATCAGAATTATTTCTATTTATTTTTAGAGTCATTTTCTAAATCGATTAAGTCTTGTTTGCTTGTCCGTCGGCCCGTACGCTCGGTCCTCGGACATTTATTCATATGTTCTTATTTTCCAACTATAGGGCATAACTTTTGACATCTTTTGACAAAATTTAGATAAGCTACCACATTTTGACGGATGTATATAGAAGATGACTTTCCATATAATGCTGTACTTTAATGAGATAAACTATGCTTTAATGGGTAGCATAGATGTGCCGAAACTCTCACCTCCCAGTGGCCATCCCCGGGCAACGGCTTCAGCCGGCTAAGAAGAGTTTAAGGTTTTGGGCTGCTAACTCGGCGACGAGTTTTTAAGAGATGGTGGAGGGGTTGGCTGGAAGATGAGCTCTTCACTCAATAGCTGGTTACTACCGAGGAAATATATGAATGAATGGTTTTTAAGTACTTTGAAGGTAGTAATCTAGCGAGTGCATGGTAGATCACTCTGCCATGTCAGTGCAATACCCGAGACCTATATATCTCGAAGAAAAGTAGTTCATGGTGTTGGCAACCAAGGTAGTATGGTGAATCCGAAGCAAGTACGGTTGTTTTTAACATCCGCCCAAAGTATGCCAAATGCTTTGTAAAACAAACTGGGAGCCACGGGGGTCAGGAGGCTCGCCTCACAAACCCACGTATGCCTGCGGGTGTATGATGCACTTTGTTCATAAAGTCGTAATGAAATAAATTAATTTTTTTTCTAAAGAATAATAATAATACAAAAAGGAATTGACGGACGGCCTTCCCTTTGGCCGATTATTAAAAAACCCTCTCGAGAATTAATTAATTAATACATGCAAAAACGAAAAGAGGGATTTGACGGAAAGGCTTTTTACCCTTTTGCCTATTTTTACTTTTGAACATATGTCACGGATGCCTGCGGGTAATGATGGTAATTGATCAACAGCGCAGTGGAAACCTTATGGCGGAAGCAAGCGTTGATCAATTTGTGAGTCCTAACTGCTTGGGTGCGCCCCTACGGGGAGTACTCGTGGTGGCTGTGGTTGGCAAGTTCCTAGCCAAACTGGAACAGTCGAGTGCAGCTAGGCCTCACCACTGACCAAAGTGGGGTTTATTGTTCCATACACAATAAACCGTTCTGGACTCTGGTGTTGTTTAGGCCCCTACTCTGTGGGGATTGTGTAACTCGCCACGGAGCGTAGTACGCTTAAAGTGGCTTGGGCCACCGTGGGGTTAAGCCTTTCAGGCAGGAACCCACGATAAACCCTTGCTACAATTCTGTACTTTAATAAATGAATGCATAAAATTTGAATTGAACTGAACACAAGTTTAAAACGCTACCATTTCGAAACGTTTTTGTAAAGAACATAAGCCTTCATATCATAACATATTATAGTTTTTGCTGTATAGGATTTCATAACTGACCAACTATTAACCAACTGTAATGTTTTTATTTGTTTAACCTTATCTTTGCAATCGATTAAGATATTGTGCGATTCAAAGCTCAAATGCCTAACCAAATTTTTGCGATTGCGTCAACACTGACGAGTTACGATTTCAAGGTTCGAAACTTACAATGTCTTTAAAATATATCCCGCTGCTCTGATATTTAATTGCAAGCATTGTGAAAAGAATACAAACAACTCACATATATACAAAAGCCTTTAAACCACAAATGGCATAGTTCACATCGTCATTTGCTCTATTAATAAGTTGTAATTGGTAGTTTCCTGCCATAAAAACTTACCGTAATTTTGATTCATTTTCGAAATGCTTCATAAAACTTTCACTAGCAGTATGATGATCGACAATTGTGACGTTGCGGCTTTGATATGAATAAAGTACAGCAATATTAACTTCGACAACAGCCTTGTCCTTCCATAGCGACGTTGGTGTACGCGTGTCCAAATTCATTTTTAATGCCACTGTCTAAATTTTTATACGAGACAGATAGCAAGATACCAACAAATTAACGTTTAACTCAGAGTATCTAATGTTAATAATGAGAATGCATGCAAAAGGAAATTTTGAAAAATATTGAAAAAATTTTAATTGAACCACACGTGAATGAAGCCTTTCATAGATTACAAATATCAAATATCTTGGATGTGGAAGAAATTTTTTTTTTCTAGTGAAAAGTTGAAAATTGCGATGTAAATGAAAAGGAGGATGAGAACTACATATAGCAATATGTATACATACCTCTAGAATATTGCGACGGTTTGTGTCACACAGATTACGACAACCAATTTCCGTGGACATATACCAACCACTGAATGTGGTTGCCGTGAATTGTATGCCACCAACATCAAATAACATACTGGACACAGCCGGTAACGCATACCAACGTAAATCCAAATCAGCAAACCATTCAAATCTGACAAAGGAGAACATATACTTTTAAAATGAACATAAAAACAAATTCTTAATGAATTTATAAGAATTGAAATAAAATAAAATTCTTAGTCCGAATTTCCAAGGAATAATAGGGCAAATTCTAGCTCAAGTGCCAAATTAATACAATATTTCCACGTAAAGTTTTGCTCACTTTTACTTGAAAATTCAATTAACTAAATTGTTCTTTACAAACCAAAAAAATGTCACTTTTCAATCATTTGCCCCTTATCGTAACTTTCTCTCTTTACAAACTCTTCACAAAGTCATTCTATATAAAGCGCCCTACGTTGGCTGAGAGAAGAATGTCAAGGTCGTATCTCCAGAGATTAATTTCAGTTGCCTTAATTCTTGAGAAACTGAGGGAGCAGGAATCAACGATAATTGGAACCAATTCCACTCCAATTTCCCCGAAGCAGATCGAATCATTCCTATAGAAAAGTTATATGTAAAGTCAGCTTGTTTACGAGCTCAAGCAGATGTCAAGAACATAACATTTAAAGTATTGTCCATTGGTTGCTACGCTGAGCCTGAGCTATTCGATAATGTTTATGATGGCAACTTTTAGATGTTACGTAACCAATGAGGAGACTAATAAACTTCCTTTTGTGTTTGCCCATCTAATGAACTCTTGTGGTCGAATTGATATTGAGATATTGAAAATATTTGCTTGAATACATTTTTCATTTTGATGCACCATTACTTATATAGAATGACATCTGCAAAACTACTATGCATTCATTCGCAGAATAAAATCAAATTACTTACATAGATACATACTCTAAAATGTGTATGAGTAAACAGGTGATTTGTCTTTGTAAACACTTACTTTGGATGATTTAATGGTACTTCTAAGATTAATTCCGGTGGATAATCGAAATAGTCGGGATCATGACCATTGGCCGACACTACTAAAGGCAATATATCCCAATCTGTGCCTTTGCTCTTCCAACCTAATTTCATGCATACCTACAGAAAAGGATGAAAGAGAAACCATTCACGTAAATATAGTAATCATTTCACTAAAACGAAGACTACTTAATATTTTTCAATTGAAATCTATGAATTAAATAGCAAAATCCTTTTATACCCTACACCTTGTAATAAAAAATCGTGTTAAGTTTATGCGAATGCCGCAATGGCTTGAGATAGACCCATCTTTTATTGTTGCTCGAATATCTGCCCACCTGCCCGTCCTTGCTTCCGGGTTCAACCTGCAGATAAATTTTTGAGATTTTATCATGCAATTTGGTACATCGGCGTGTTTTGATCCAAGGACAAACGCTATTGAAGATGGGTCGCATGCACTACTTTCTCAACCGCTTCTCATATAATACCTTTTTTTGAACAGTGATTACATGAATAAGTATATTGATCGAAGTGGTGTAGAGTATTTTTTATTTTTTTCTTAAAATAATTAATCATTCAGACGATGTTACCTCCCATTCGTGCAGCCCTCTGATGGTTAGAAAGAAGTCACGAAAGAGACACAAATAGAGAGGCGGTGGCCGCAGGCTAGTGGGTGTGTGGCCAATCGACAACTTTTATGCCTTTGCCGACCAAGCACTCACTACGACTACGAGCAAAGTAAACTCTACCGTTTTAAGGCTTCAACGGCCTCGAACACAGACTTAGCAGTCGTAATTTTTAACTATTTGGCTATTCATGCGGAAATGACGCTCTCTTGGTGAAATTAAGCTTCGTTCATACCTACATACGTTAAGCATTATGTCTGGATCAAAGTAGGCTTTCAAATTTACCGGTGCAAAATTTAAGATGGCCTTTTTTCTGGGAAGGAGCTTTGCCGTTCATTATAAATAAATAGGAATACGATAAATTACAAAATTTTGACCTGAAATCGAACCCGGATCATTCGGCTGTGAGAGGAATTTTCTCACCACTAGACTATTTGATATGTATATATGTATGTGTGTGATGTGTACACCCTTCTTACTTCGTAATAAAGGACAGTTCATAATACGTCGTTTTCATGAAAAATATCCCATCCGGAATTTACTGAAAATGATAACTTTAGTGGCATAGTTCAATTTTATTAATTCTCGGCCTTTTCGCATGCACGTTATTTTTCAGAAAGTTCAAAATTATTATTAGTTTATGCCACAAAAACAAAGTTTCCCTTGCAGTGCATAATGGAAAAGTCTGTTGAAATTTTCACATATCAACCGTCCGTAATCGCATTATATTTGCGATTCAACTCAGTAACGTGCTTTGATAAAATTCAATCCAAGTACCTTTAGCAAAAAAATTGAACAAATTTTTACATAGCATTGTTGATATGCAGAATTCTGTTTTCTTTTTTTTTTTTTTTATTTTAATCATCGAGGAATGGGAACATGAAACATGGTATTTGTGTTATTCCGCCGGCAACATGTGTTACTACGTAGATATGATGAAGTTGTAAAACAAAAGGAGCAATATTAGTGGCAACAGTAGTAGAACCAATAGCAACATTAATTACATTGCATGGAACAGAATCTCTTAAGTAATAATAAAATACCAAAAAGTACTGGTGACATCATTAGCATCAGATCCGTGCACAAATAACTTCCTAAGCGAATGATTATAAAAAATGAAAAAGTTGTACGAGAAAATAAAGCGGAAAGAGAACGTCACAACTATAATTAAAGGTTCTTTAGATCACTGCCTAACTTGCTTGCTTTAATGCTTAAGAAATGAAAACTTGTATAAATCTCAAGAAATTTTAAAAATTTAAGAATGTCTGAGACGAGCTATAAAACCTTCAAGCAGAAGTTTGAAAAACGGAATAAATTAAAAATGGAAGCAAAAATCTGCAAGTTTCCCTTTCTTATTTCGGACATGCCAATCTACGATTAGACGATGTCCTCGATCCGATACAAGTTAGCCCTGTAACGACGAGGAAAGATTGTAGGCAGTGAAAAGGTGAAATATCAAGTCATACTTTCATATGAATTCGCGTTACGAAACTGTAGGAACTGTACGAAAGAACTTTACAAGTGGATTGTGGAGATGAGACTACTTATCTCACTGGTCGTTTTCAAATTTTCATTTTCTTGGAGGCTCTCGATATCGCTTGACTTAAGAAAATAATGACGAAAACTAATCATCCCCTTAACGGGGGATGCTGCATAGCGATCATGCGGTTAGACGGTCATACTTAAATTATACGCTATAGATAAATTGTAGATATTTGATGCTGCTCAAGAATATATATGCTATCGGGAGTCTTTGAACCTTCCTTCTGGGGTGTTGCAAACGTTTTAACAATCTCAATATACCCCACATCCTTCGGTGATGGGTACAAAATAAGAGAGAAACAAAACGTTTTTCGAAAAATTCCAGCAAAAATCAGTTATAAAATCAATTATAGTAAACCAATCAAAAAACCTTACATTCTTCACTAGAGAATGTTATTATGAAGCTATAGCTGAAATATCAAGCTTGAGCTTTGCGCTACGTTAGTGATATGGCAAACTTGAAAAATGTTATATGTTAGCTCCGTGGAAGGAGAGTTCAAAATTGATGATGTTGGGTGATGTTTTGATTCACAAAAGTGGTTTGAATCCACAATCAAACCTTTTAGATACCATTCTGGGTGATTTAAGATGTCATTTAAAAAAAAATATATAAAAATTAATTTTCAAAATAACTCTACTACTTAATTAATACTGATCCTTACAAACCTAACAACTTCCTGTGAACTTATTTGGTTACCTTAACTCCTTCGCTGTATGTAGAAAAATAGGTAATTAGCGTAATATTCTAAATCAATTAATCGTCTCCCTCTGACCGTTTCTTGTTATGTTTACATGATATGATTTGGGATTTCGTTCTGGCTGATCATTCTTTTTCCGGAAATGGATCTGATTCGCCAGCAAAAGCGGAAATATTTCCATTTCAAATATATATCAAATTTTAAAAATTGGGCTCATGTTGAATAATTGATACCAACTGACGCGTTAAATATTAAAAATAAAATGTCTTGAGATGTTAGGTATTTAAGATTCGTCTCCGTACGAGCACATCGTGTCCCTACTTGATTAATGCGTATATGTCATCAAGATGTGTACATGTGAATAATAAATGAATTCATTGAAGTATGATTTGCTTGATTTATTTACCTCCGTAAATTCCACATTCAAAGGATCTCCAATAATTTTTCCATCATTCTGTTTATAGCCAGCATATGAGATAAGCTGTGTATTCCAAATACGATAATCGTGACGTGCATCGGTTCGTTGCGGAAATATTGTAATGGCTGACCTGCATTTATATCCATTTTGTTGATATTGTGTTCGATGTCAATGCAAACCATTTATTCGTACGATGCATTGGTTGCATTTCATTTAGTGGAGTTATTCGTTCACACGTAACGACAGTATGTAAAAAGATAATAAAATATTTGCATATTTGCAGGACATAGTGTTAGGTTCTTCTTATATGATTTATAATATAAACAAAGAGAGACAGAGAGTGATTTTTCTTGTTAAAAAATGCAAATAAATCGTAAAACCGAAATGAAATTTTATAGTTGACCCTTTCGTTTTGTAATTGTTAATGGTATGCAGAATAAGCACAACTTTGTTACACGTAACTAAATCTGTGATATATGCCTGTATTGTGTACAGGTAGAAAAACCGAAGCATAGTTTATTTTGTCTAGTTTTTCCTTTTATTATTATTATTATTATTATTCTTATTTATCTGTTTGACATATTAATGTAATAAACTCAGTTGGAATGTATTTATGTATTGAGAGAATTTAAACAAGTGTTTTTTATTGAAATTTTTTCCTTCGAGGAAATTATCTCGATTGGAACAGTTTACTAACATAACTATGAATAAAATGGAATCTATTAACACGATAATTGAAGATATATATATAAAGGAAGTTGAAAGTAAAGTGATAACTTAATATGTCGCACGAGTCACTTGTTCGGTCGTTGAAATTATTTCATAGAAATTAAGATATTTAAGAGATTAGCAAAGCCCAAAATTCATAAAAATTATATTTGATAATTTTTTTAGAGCAAGTTTACGTTAATTGATTTTTAGTCTTCACTTTAGTTCCCATTACCTGAAGAAAATTTTCGCTCTATTCGCTCTTTTTTAAATATCTCTTCCTAATATTCTAATATTTTAGAGCATAATAAATTCGAAATGGCATCCGGGAGTGTAGGTATGAAGACCTTGTTCTCTATAACAGTACAGCCAATACCCTTTTGATATGTTGAATCTTTAACAGATATTCCTCTTTAATATTAAATTGCTTTCTGCGCTATTAGCAAAATTTGGTTCGCGGTAGTTTTAATCTTCTGGTGCAGCCAGGGAGTAAATTGATAGCTGGTGGACAAAGCTAAATATGAGCAGATGTTAACAATTGAAAAAGCTAACAAAAAGGCGAGGTAGAAAGTGGGCGTACAGATGCCATAATAAATGAAATGACGGGAGGAGAAGCAGATGGACAAACGGACACGACGAGAGTGACAAATGCTAGCAAGAAAGGTGGTCAGACGAATAGATGGCCGGGCAAACAGACGAGCTCGCAGGTGCAACACGTAGCACATGTGGGATTGAACGGGAACAAGCAGATAGGTAGATAGATAAAACAATGAAAAAGGGACGGACAGACAGCAAAGGAACAAAGGAAGATAGAAGATTAGGTTGGTGAGCAGACAGACAAAGGATAGAGCGACAAACTAACGGACAGATAAGCAGACAGGTAAGAGAATAGGTAGACAGATAATGGCGCGGCAAACGATTCCATGCAATAGGCGGGGCGACGGTTCAGCCTGACAAAGGTACGAAGAATCAGATGGGCAAACGGACAGGCGAATAAATGGACAACCTACGAGGCAGGCAAATAGATAGGCGGAACGGGTGCAAGTAGAACATAGCCAAATGAACTGAAAATCCTATTTTTATCATGAGTTATGACCCTCGAAATCATGTCATAGTAATCCCTGCTCCGGGCTGACGTTAGTACGAGGTACTTATCCAACGCATTGGCTATTGCCATTTCCAGGTCCTATATGGGAGAGCGTTGAACCATCCCATCCTATCACATCAGCTTAGTACGCCGAAATGCAAATATCCAACGATATCTGTCGAGAAGTTTGCAAATTGCGCCTTTTTTCCTATAGCGGCTTTTCCGGTTTACCTTTAATAGGGTTTTGTTCTGGAGCCAAAGCACCAAACTCATCAAAATTTCTCAAAAATTGCAAATTGTAAGTTGCAATATAAGATCAATCTTTGGACGGACTTAAAGACAAACAGCCAGACAGATAGGCAGGTAGACGGATAGACAAACTTAAATCGATTACGCTTAATATATTTTATATCAGAACGGTTTTAGGGTACAACTACACTTAGGATATAAAAATAGGACAAGAAAACATAAATTAATGAGCGAATGGTTTCTTTAAAAAAGTGCAACGACCCCTATTGCCTCAATAATGCCATTAGATCTGAATTTTATTAAACTTACGTCTAATTATATTTTCCAAGTAAGAGATATGCTTAAACGAACAAGAACCTTCAGTAGATTGATAGTTGTCGACATTAGAATATCAGAAAGGCATGCTCTTGAGTCTAATGTAATCAAAACAAGCCGCGTCTTCCCAGTCGATTTTCACAATAACTAAACACTTAAGCAGAACTTTCAATGTCTCGCAATATTTTCGAATACATATATCTTTTCTTCCCCTTTCAAAGAAGACTAGGCTGTCTAATAACCGACTCAACCGATCATTTTAGAAAATATGAAACTTTTCAAAAAACGTAGATATTCGCAAGATATTCGCCTTAAAACTGTGTAAAAAATGTAAACGCAATCTGCAAGTTTATTAAAGTTTCTAAACTTTAAATAAAGTTATTTGATTGCACACAAACTTATAAACATATTCATATGTCTGTTGAAAGATATGCAAATGTATTTGTAATCATATGCTTGCTAATGCCAACCAGACAATGTTTGTTATCCATGAATTAGTTAAAGCCGATAACTTATTACCATACGCAGAAATCTAAGATAAAAGACTTGACGTGTTTTTTTTTTTTTTTTTTTTTTATTTTTTTTTTTGCTTTTACATTTAAAATATAACGTTTAAAAGGAGAAAAGAAGAAATTTTAATGCTTTTATAAAGAAAAGTGATCCTTACCTAAGATTTCCTTTATTGGTAGCGTATTTGATGTGATTACATATCGCCTCGAACATTCCGCTGGTAGTTGTTACATACCGACAATCGAATACCTTTGAATGAAATTGAAAAATATTTTATATGAAAACGAAAGAAAGCGAAACAAAAAAAAAATTAAATTTCATCTTTTTGATTAAATAAATAGGATTTTCATAAATTTTGTAACAAAAATCCTGGATTTACGATGCGAAACACATCTTAAGAAAATTACTATAAATAGATGCTTATTTCCCTTTCTGTTTGAAATCTTTTTATTTTCTATCTTTATTCATCCTTTCATACCTTCACATTTACATTCATTCATAATAGCATGCAAACGTTTGTATTTTGTCTTTTTCCCTTTGTAGGGAAACTTTCATTTTTTTTTTTTTTTTTTTTTTTTTGCAAATATTATTGTTAGTTATTCTATGCACAAATACACGCATATGTTATGCACATTTATATTTTAACATTCATACATGAGTGCATTGCTAATGTGAAAATACGAAAAAGAAAAAAAGTAAGCAAAAAAAAAAAGAAAAACACAAACACATTCCGTTTTCCTATCTAAACTGAGACAATTTTATTTTACACCGTTTTCTGTTGCACGTTAAATCAGAAGCTGGCAAATAGTAGAGAAAATATATTTAGAACATCTTCATTTGTATCGTCGTCATCATCATCATCATCATCATCATCATTATGATAAACTTCTACGTTTTCATATTTCATTCATACCGGAAAGCAGGTGACAATTTAAACATGTATGCATACATATCCCTGTTAACACAAACAGGTTATATACTGTCTAAATACTACTATCACCGTTTTCTTTTGTCACCTTGAGCTAACAATTTCAAGCGAGAGACTGCATAAAAAACTTGCATTCTTAAACTATTGAAACAATTTTGCATAATTTACTGTATAAAGTACAAGTACACAATGCTGAATAGTAAATAATAATATGACCTTTATCTTGCTTATGCGAAATAAAAGAAAAACTCAAAACTTATCCAGACTATTGCGAAGACTTATTTGTTCAATTTGAATGTGTGAACAAGACTTGATTTAGATGTGAGCATAAAAGATTTACAAGTACACCGCTGTCATGAATTCTTTATCGTTTATCCCTGCAAGTTAGTTATAAATATAAAAAAAAAAAAAGTTGTGACGAAAGATCTTATTAAAGATATTCAAGCAATTGCAGTAATGCATGAACGACGAACATTTTTATGTTGTAAATAACTACTACACTACTACAGCATCAAGTAAAATGTTAAAATACCTTTTTACAGTAGAAAGTAGCTAAAGTTTAAAAAAAAAAAAAAAAAAAAAAAAGGAGAACTCAAGTGACTCTTGTTGCTGAGGTCGAAAGATATTTTTGAAAAGAAACATTTAAGAAAGCAATAGGTGTACAAGTAAACTCTCTGCGTTGAAATTGGTTGTAGTAGTATTTTGTATGTATGTAACTTTGACATTTTATTTGATACCTTACAGGCAAAGATACGTATACCAGATATTTAAATAAATTCGAGTAGATTTTTCCAAAAGATAGCTTTGCTTAATCTGCAAAGGTTTGTCCATTTTCAAGTTCTGAACAATTAGTAAGATCTCCTACTGCATGTGCAGGATCTTTCAACAAGATGTGTCATTTTAAATTTCATCTTATCTATTTGCTGTCCACATGTAACTGTCCTTGCCGCATCATTGGCAATTAAAATATCACGGAGACGAAGACGAAAACTCGCAATGCTTTAAATCATTGCCAACCAGCTTTTCGTGCAGCTGCAGTCAATTTAAAAAATAAATTCCAAAGTGAAGGACAACATAGTGATGAGAAGTGTCCAAGTCGTAGAAATTGGAGCGGATTACCAGAAAATATCGCCGCCATAGCTCAGAGTGTCGCCCATTCCGAGACAATCGCAGATATTGAATATACCATAAAGCAGTGTTCACTGCATTTTACGTAGAGATCGTGACCCTAAGTGCATATGAATGGCAGTTGACAAAAGAATTGAAGTCAGTAGAATCTCACAAAAAATGCTGGACCTTCCCCTCTAAGTCATAATTCTTTAAACAAAGTCATCTTTCCCTTTAAAGCAAATTCTTGCTTTTCAAAGTGGAGAGAAATCGTCCAAAAAGATGTCCAACCGCAACCAGTGTTTGCTTCGATTTACGGGCTAGATCAGGTATGGGCCATCAAGTGAATGAATTGCGTTATCAAAGGCAATTAAATGACTTTCTTTGGCTTGAAATTCCGTGCAAATAATGATCATACGGATTAAGAGATGATTTCAAAAGCAGCCAATAAAAAATATACTGTAACTTGCATTCTAATACGTTGCCAACGCAAACAGCATCGAGAAGCTAAGGATATGTTATCGTAACGCAAAAGTAAACTTTGTGAAAGCAAAGAAATACATCGTTGAGTACATTTCACAATCAGTGTGGATAGTGGAATTTGCAAAATCGTTACTTTTTTTATTTTCGTCTGGACCAATCACCCAGAAGATGGCCTCTATTCGTGTAAAAAGTTGTCAGTAAGTGAAGGTAGAGAGAGGGAAACGGCCGTAGCTTAGTGGCCGCAAGTAGTGGCTTAGTGTGTCAGCAATCAGCCTTTACCGATTGACAACATACTAGAACTGCGAACAAAATAAACTCTACCGCTTTAAGAGTACAAAGCGCGATTTTTACCCACTGTCTGCCATGATTATCCTTTCTGCACTGCTTTATAAAAACACCATATTTTTATACTCACTTAAGTAGTAAGCACTCTTCATCAGTATAGGAGTCTAAATTTATTCCGAGCTGTCGGTCTTTTAGCCTGGTGTCTCTTCTTGATCTCTCAACATATAGATACAATCTGCGGAATATACAATAACTCACTAGCATGATCTACGACTACGCAAGTAAACTTTTGCTCACGATAATCAAATGTAACTTATATCAGTTCTCGTCACCAAGTATGTCGCTTCTTCTTATTACAAATCTAAAACATATATATACCTAACAAATATCGCCGACACTTACGACAGCAATCACGTGCAGCGCCACGTTACGGCACATTTGATGGCATAAAGTAAAATTTATTTGCTCAGTTTGTAAGCGAATCTATTTATCTTATTTATTAAACTGCCGACAGCAAAAAAGGTAAGAATGAAAAAACAAATTTGCGGGCAATGCTTTAAAGCGACATCCAAGGGAAGGGCGAAACGGAATCGATGTCATTATTCAAGCAGATCAAAAAGATGCATAAGCCTAATATGACAGAGACAAGTTACTACTCCATTGGTTGAGAGACTATCAAAAACAAGTTCCGTTAACTTTATTTATAAGGACGATTAAATAAGTTTTCATAATGAAGCCATATTTAATACTTAGTACTTTATTAACAACTAAATTATTTTCTTTACAACCATCACTGATCTACTTCCTTGTAAAAAGCGCCTGCAGCAGCAGCATGCAGCTATAATGCGGATTATGTTGATAAAGTTAATTTTCTACCAAAATATCTAACGATGACCGGAAAATTGTCTACGAGGCGAAAGAAAACTTTTAAAATAAAATAATAAAACTTTTATAGCACACAAAAATTACAAGTTTTTCTTTCAAAACATTGTAGCAAGAGATGTAGCAAGCATGGTCATTTATACGCACACATATCTTAAGCTAAACGGATAAACAAACAATACTTGTGTGCTGCTTGAAACTAAATTAAATAACACTTGCAAAAAGAAATATCAAGAAAAATATAGAAAAATATCAAGAAGAATATGAAAATGAAAATGTTTACTTTAAAGTTACTTGCATACGTATGGCATGTGCGTACAAATGTTAGGTTGGACTGAAATTTCTTTGCTACAAAACAGTTCTCCTTATTCTATAGCAATGCTTAAGATCATATTACAACTTAAGGAGTTACATAACTATAACAGCTTCAAATAAAACCGTCTGCCTGATCATGCTTTTGAAGTGCAGCAAGAAGAGCTAAGAGAATAATAATGTTCGATGAAGTTATTAGCAATAGATTTATGGCAGATCTCAAGTTGGCGGATTTTTGATTTTAAAAATTTAGCATAAAGAAATCGATGTGTTCCGTCATGAAAAAATTGCCGGTGTTTTACAAGTTTCTTTTAGTCTCTTCTACCTTGCGAAAGAGTCTGTAAGCAGATCCCGCCTTATTTTCCAACCTCGCATTCTTAATAAATCAAGAAATATTTATATTAAATTCCAGCTTTCGATCTTCACATTTGCGCCTGTGACTACTCATCATCAATTTTCGTAAATCCAGAGTTAAACATATGCCGAAGTGTTAAAATAATATATAATTTAAAATAATTAATGCAAATTTTGATCGAAAAAAGTTTTCATCTGCATATACATCCACGGGAACATTTGAATTAAAAAGTTTAATTTTCAACCAAAAATAAAGGAATGCTTTCTTAATAAATAAGGTTTCAATGAACTTATCGAAAATCCCTTATACGATTCATTTCCAAAAGTCATTTTCAATATGTTTTGCAGTAATAATAACCGAACGAGAAGAGAGAAAATTTAAAGTTGTATGTTGTACTGTTCAGGATTAAGCGGGTAACGGTCCGTTTTGACGTGGAGAAGTTACTCTTGAAAAATGCACTAAAATTGGATACAGTTTGTTGTAATGAAGAGTATCTTTTTCCTCTTACCTACTGTCGTCTAAAGTGATCTAAAGTGAATTCATTCGCCTAAACATTGAAAATATTAGAAAATTATTTCCAAATATGTAGTGAATTCTTAAACTTTGAAAATAAAATTACATAAGATATGAAAATGAAGCTTTAAATCTTTGAAATATGTTATAGACATTCTTTTTATATCCTGCTCGACTGGTTCTACAAGCGCTTATTAAGTTTGGAGGGATGTATGCAACATCTAGAAAGACTTGAGATAGACCCCCATTCTATTATACCGATCTAAGCTTGTCCGTCCGTCCGTCCGTCGTCTTGTTTTCGTGTATTCAAACTATAGGTTGCAATTTTTAAGATCTTTCAATGAAATGATATGGCGATATATTTTGGCCAAAGACGAAAACTGT